ACCGTAGTCTCACTTATTTTTTGTTTGTAGAGTAAATAGCTTTAAAAAAAGTACTTCCAATTTGTTTAATATAAAAAACAAAAACAAATAAATAAGTAAATTGATCAATCACTTAATTAATTAAACAAAGACCAAACTAAAAATAATTGAATTCTCGTAAAAATTTATTTTAAAAATATTTCAAAATGCACTAAATTAAATTTTCATATAAATTTTATAATATGTTAGTAAAAAAAGAAATTTATATATAAATAAAGAGTAAAATATATGTTTAGTAATATTTGCACAATGAAAAAAAGAAAAAAAAGTGGAAAAGTTTGAGACGTAAAAAAAAAAAGAAAATGATAAGAGAAGAAATGAGAAAAGATAGAAATTCTTTTTTTTTTTTATATCAAGAATTGTCATATTTTTTGCTTTAAATATACATTTCTTTTCTTTTTTTTCATTAAAATTATTTTTAATTAAATTAACTCTTTTTTGTTTTAAATATATAAAATATTCGTTAAAAAATATACATACATATATTGGAAATATTTATTTTAATAAATTAAAATTATCTAAAAGTAAGACAATAAATGAATATTAAATATTTCATTTACCGATACATTTCTTTCACCTTTCTTAATTAATTAATTTTATTTTTATTAATTAATCATAAATTACTATAAATGATTACAATTTCTTAATAGAGTAAAATTATACAAAAAGACATCGATCGAAATTGGAGAGAAGAATGCAAAATCAAATCATTATTGACCTATTGATTATTTATTAACGACCATGTATGTGTGTATATATGTATGTATGTATGTATGTATGTATGTATGTATGTATGTATGTATGTATGTATGTGTGTATGTATGTATGTACGTGTGTGTGTGTATTCGATGTAGAGAAAAGAAAAAAACAAATCATTGACCTATTAATTATTTATTAACGAACATGTATGTATGTATGTATGTATGTGTGTATTTGGTATAGGAGAGAAGAATGCAAAAACAAATCATTGACCTAATAATTATTTCTTAACGAACATATGTATGTGTGTGTATGTGTGTATGTGTGCATTTGTCTGTATGTATATGTGTTTATAAATATATGTATGTGTATGTATATATATGTATATATGTGTGCGTGTATGCATGTATGTACATGTATAATCATTTAATCAGTTTATCAATTTATCATGATAAGAAATCGTAACAAAGATTAAAATGAGTTAAAATGATTGAAAAAAAGAATGTGAACGATATAAATTTCATATGATGAAAGGTGTGAATATTTATTAATCATAAAAAGATTGTATAGAGAGATCAATTGTTGAAATCAATGATTGTCACATGTAACAAAATAGGACAGGACAAGTTTCAAATAGGTTATTTAAAAGGAGCACTTGTTGATATTTAATGAATATAGGAAATTTTCGGTGAAAAAGAAAG